CTGTTTCATGCCTATTTATTTAAATGCCTATTTAACTGTAAATTCAAAATGGCAAATTACAATATGAACTATCTTCTGTTACAATATTTTACTACTCTGTAGTTTGCCATCATAGCTGTTTTGACAGTGTTGAGTGTTTGCTGCATGGGTGTATCTTCTAGTCTCTAATGAATGTACTATAAAGACCTTATGGACAGTCAGTTCAATTCATACTCTTCTTTTTGTCAATCTCTTTCTGTTCATCTCACTCACTCTCTCTCTCCCTATGTAGGACAGAGCATGTGTATGGATATATTTTCAGTGTATTGGTCCCCGGAAAGTAGAATTGGAGATCACCCAAGGAACAGATTGTCCCACTTTTACGTGCTGCAAAAGTGGAGCGGCCAAGTTGTGTCCTCTATATCCCTCTCTTTCATTGGGTCCCTACCCTTCAGCCTCTTTCCCACCGCCAGTGACGAGGAACCATCAAGAACACTCTAGGCCTGCTCCAACACAAGATGGATGGAATGAGTCACTAAACTGGGGGGGGGGGGGAGATAGCACTCTGTTTTATATGAATGGTGCATCGCTAGCCATCAGATCTGGGGGTGGTGCTCTGACATAGCAGGTAAAGTGGGAAGGGCTAAGCTGGGGTATGATGGGTATCTGATGATAAGCCTGCTAATCAGTAATTAAGTGGATGATTGAAATAACTCTCAGCACTCCATTTCACAATAAACATCCGGCTCTTTCCAGCTTGATCCTCCCCATCGCCACCTCACCAAGGCCAATCTTCTTTGAGGAAAAAGGGGCCACGGCTTACTTCAGAGGTTACACACCGCTCGCCTGATGTTCAAAGCACGTGTGCATGCACATACCCAGTTTGACTCTTTAAGCAGCACTCACACACACACACACACACACATATGTCCTGAATGTCTGGCAGAAAGCAGCATTGAGTGCCAGACCAGTCAGCTTCAGCTTGGCTGGTGGTCTCGTGTAGATCAATGTGGGCTATCTTTCCCCTCAGACCGGATATAATTGGGTCAGGTGGAGCATGCGCTACGGGCCTCGCTAGGGCTAAACTTGGCTGGATGGGCTGAGAGACCTCAATGCAGCACAGATTTAGGAGTGTACATCCCCTGCACAGTTTCTGAGACTTCCTCCTTCCCGTAAACATTGTTTGATTCAGTAGCTAAAGCTCCTTTGTCCCACTACACAACAGAAATCAACTTTTACTTTACTAGCCTGTAACCCTATTTTCATGAACTTATGAATCCGAGTACAGCATAGATTTGTATTGTATTTCCAAGCTCTAAATGGATGATATAAAACATCAAATGTATGCCCATTCTACTCTTTTATTAAAATACATGAATCAAATATTTGTTTTTTTTAGGTGTCCTGCAATTACATTCCCCAAATCAAGTTACCCCCGTGTGAGACACCAACTGCAAGATTGAGGACCTCTACAGAACATAACATACCTTCAGTCTTTTATCTAGTCTATTGCAGTGTAATGAGCAAATACATGTGGGCCAATATATGAGACACACTGTTCTTAGTGTTGCCTTCAGCAATGAATTACATGACACCAGATCCCAGGTCTGTGTGCACATGTCTGTAGCAGACCTGAACCCAGACTTGTGTGTGTTACACTAGTTTACCTGATTTCATGCAACACAAACTTCCCTTTCACTCTCCACACATGATATGACAGAAAGTGCATTAAAATGTCATAACAACAGTTTTTGCAACAACAAAAGAAGGAGGAAAGCGCTGATGCAGAGTCAAAACATTTCCAATAACAGACCATCTTTACAATTCCTGGTATCAAGTAACTTTTTCAAGAGCATCTTCTACTTTTTATTCGTGTCCCAAAGCTCATGACTAAAGACCTCAGGCCTGAAATACAATGAAAGCAGGCCACAGACAAAGTGAGACACAGTGATGAGCGCAAGATTAAGGTGGAATTTATGGCAGATAAACAGCCACAAATAGACTGTCCACTAGTGACAGTTTCACTTACCTTGCACGTCCATTGACATAAAAGGTAACAATGAGAGACAAAAGTCAACAAGATACTAATAAATGCTGTTAGACATGGCTGACAAAGTGAGTACCGTGTCGATGCCTGTAAGGCCACATAACAGTTTGCCCACCTACCATGTAATGGGGAGTAATTGGCTCTACAGACAGGAAGCATTCTTAGCTTTATGCTCTACTGCTCTGCTATTACTGCTGTATACATTGGATTTTCTAATAAGCCTTTTTACTAAGTAACGTGTTTAACCTTGAACCAAGAGGGCAAGAGAAAGTGTGAAGAAACCCTCAAATGAATGTAGTATTTGGTATCAAATGGGACCATCACCTGTTTGGGGAGAGCATCTAAACCAAGGTTAAATGTTAGACTGGACATCCAAGATATTTTGTGGAAAGAGTGTTCTTTAGAGCTGCTCTGGACTCTAATCAGATGTGCACTACCTTGTTACGACCCTAAATTGAGCCAACATTCACCAGCTTCAGGGCCATCTGACCCTGCTGGCTTGAAACAGGCTGCTCAGCAGCCTAGAAGCAAACAGTGAGGTTAATGAGGTGAGACAGCTAAAGGTCTATGATCACACACTTGCGTTATAGCGGTGTCATTATGTGATGTATTCCTCCCATTTTGTCATGAGATTTACATACTTTAGACTCTAACTGGTGTCCCACTGGTTCAAAAGCTTGCAAGTGCATAGTAGTGTTTCCATGATAAAGTCCTTTTAATTAGTGCATCTAAAATCCAGTTGTTCCTTTCTGTGCAAGAATTGACTTGAAGTTGTGTTCAGAAATCGTACAGATAGAGCTATTTCAGTTCTTCATAATGGTGGATATGTTGCAGTTTTTTGGCTTCTGTTTTCATGGCTTAGAGCAATCCTCCAGATCTTTCCCCTGGGGGAAACCTCCCCGTATGTAATAATGAAAAGCCTGCAGAGTCAAGGGAAACAGCTCTTCTCTCCCGTTCCATCTTAATGAGCACAACAATAAGACTGTCCACAAATAACAATTAGAAATTCATTAAAAAAAAAATCATATCAGATGACAATTTCTTTATTTAAACATGAAATAAATTATTGTATTTGATGATGACACTTTAAATGTCAGACAGAAGATGGTCTGTGGCCTTTCTTTGCAGATTTTGCAATGTTTGTCCTTGAATTAAAAGCTAATGAATATGCGTGTGTGATTTAAATGGGCACATGCGTTTGTTTATTGTTTTTTATAACTCCATACAGCTATAGCCCAGTTTAATACTCCCATGGGACTGATTTAAGGAACATTTTGTAGTGGGTTTTGCATTTCTGCTTCATAGATACCGTAGTAGCTAATAGAGTCTAACGGCATTCCTCCACAGCAGTGAGTTGTCACTGAAAATATTCTCTCAGCCCGTCTGTCTTTTGTCCTACAATCTCTCCATACCAGACCCTGAGGAATCACTGGACCACATAGCATTGCTACACTGCATCTGCTACACTGACCGGCCTGTGTTTCGACTCCTGCTCTTCCCGCAGAGATCGGAGAGGACAGAACACGACTGGGCAGGAAAGAACAGCATGAGAGTGGAAATAAGTAGGCAGTTATGGTGGAATCAGAGAGACGCACATCTCCACTGGCCAATTCAGTGTAACTCCTGTCTTTCATCTTCCACTTGTCATCGTCATAATCACACTCTTTTGGAATGACCCACACATTACCTATGATCACTCAGTCCCTCTCTGGCATTGATAACGTCACCTGATGTTCTTTCTTCCATTGTGATCAATTCTTCTGTGTTTCTTAGGAAGCCATTAATCTTAGTGTGCCCACTTTGCTTTAAATTGCCTGGTTTATTTTCCTTCCCTCTCCAAATGAAGTCCCCCAGGTTTACTTCGCCAACAAAAAAATAGCCTTTTAAAGTGAGCAATGCTTGTTGTGTATTACACGGTGGGGGACAGGTCTTAGGTGGCTGTGCAAAGTCAATTATGTTGCATCTAAAGAATGTGTATGTGTGTGTGTGTGTGTGTGTGTGTGTGTGTGTGTGTGTATGTGTGTCGTTTTCTGGGGTCCTTAGAGGGTTTCCACCTTTTCACCAGCTGACTCCATAAATACTGCGAGCAGGTAACAATTTTGACAAGTCGCAGCTAAACAAGTGTGTGAAATGTGGGTGTTGATGAGCTCTCGTTTGGATCTGTTAAATGTAATACAAGGCTGTAAGTGTCTGGATGGTATTAAAATAGGAATTACATAAGCACATTTATCATTTCTTTCTCCCAACTCCCAGACTGATTTCTACCTTATGTTATCTACACCAGTTATTCCCCAATTAATTATGTGCATTTATCACTGTAAAACAACAGGTCATAACCCACTTTGTGACTGTGGGGGAGCAGTTGTAAACACTGCAATGTACAATTCTGTTTCATAATGAACATGGAATAACCGAGATGAAACAGGGTCTTAACTAGTCACAAGGGATTCAATTATGGCCACAGAGTAGGATTCAACATGAAAGTGTCATTTAGTGAAAGGAACTTTTCCACCATCACTGCCCACTGTGTCCACTAGAGAATGCCTGGCAGCGAGCTTTTCAGTTAAAATATCACCTAAATGTGTCTTTTCGACATATCTATTTTTAATTCACATTAACTACAAGCAAACTTATCTACATAACCTTCATTGCAGCTGCCTTATGCAGTATACCATAGCTAATGAAGCCTATATGCACAACAGAGCACTCTAACTAATCAGTCTTAAAGCTGTTCTGGATTGATCTGGGCAATTACTTTAGTGTTTTCTTTGAAGGCTTGGGGTTCCTTGTAATTCTCTCTCTGTCCCACTTTGCTCTTCTTGCCCACCTTCATAATACATGGGAATCAGACCTCAGAGGACATTTACATTGTTTTCTTTTTTTGTATTATATACACTTTACATTACTTTGAGATACACACGTTATTCAAATCCACCAGAGTAGAGTATAAATGAACATTAAAAAAAGTAAATACCTTTTAGTCTGCAGTTCAGGCTGTGTTGCTCTTCGTTGTATCCGCAGTGACCTCCTTGATAAACCACAGAGAGAGCAAAAGGGGGGCCGGGATTAGATGATGAGTGAAAGATCCAGTTCATAAAATAAAGAAGAGGAAAAACAAGAAAAAGTGATTTGTTTTTTCCCTTGCAAAATCACATTTTCATGGCTTCTAGTCTTTAAATGTGCATCGGTGTGAGCCAGCCCGAGCCACTGTATTGTGCAGCCTCTCTTTCTGTTTTTCATTCTCACACACACACAATTTCACCTACTCCATGCCCCAGTAGAGCTTTCTCTGTCTCTCTATTACACACACATTCATGCACCCTCTCTCCAGCGTGGCGTTCTCTCCCTCTCTCTTACTTCAGCTGTTAGATTGATCTCTCTCCTTCGCTCTCCTTCCTCTCTTTGTACTTCCACTGTGTACCGACTCTCCACCATCCATCTGTCAGTCCCTCTTTATGCTTTTTTTTCGTATCCAAGTGCTCTTCTATTAAATTATCCCTAATTTTCTTCATCACTCTCTCTCACACCGTCCTTTTTGTCTCTCACTGTTCCATCACATTTTATCCTCTCCTTTCTCTCTCTCTCTCTCTCTCTCTCTCGCTCATTATTTCAGCCACTCCATCAATCAAACACACACATTTGTCCCATGATATGGTTCCCTCCTCTTTGTCTTTCCCCGTCTCACACGAACATTGAATGGATTTAGGTCACCTTTTGTGTATTTGATGCTGAGAGGTCCTCATAGAAATAAAGAAAGACTGCTTTTCCAGAGTGATTGATTTTTTTCTAAAATCTAATCTGATATTAGACAAATTGCTCCATGAATGTGATTTGAAGTTGGCTCATGAATGACATTTTGAAGGGCTTTAATTTTGAAATGCTACATCAGAATGTCCTGGTTCTCTCCGAGTGACACCTTGAGGTGGTCTGCTATTAACCTGTCCTGATATCATTTTGTAACTATGCACCATTTCCTCTAAAATCGAATCTGAAATTAGACAAATTGTCTCATGAATGTGATTTGAAGTTGGCTCATGAATGAGAATTTGAAGGGCTTTAACTTTGAAATGCTACATAACAATGTCCTGGTTCTCTCTGAGTTTTGGTAGCATGACCAGTTAGTTTGTTTCATATTGTCGTCTTTTGAGTTAACTTATTAACTGCTGTTAATCAGTGTTGCTTTCCTTTTCAGAAAGTAGTTTTGAGTTGTTGCATTTTGAGCATTTCAGTATATTGTTAATAAATTACTATTTTGTTTATTCAGCCGTTGCCCGTGACTCTTCTTCCCTGGGTTTATTTACACCGTTAGTGCCCTCATCCTCTGGACCTTAATCGGGGAATGTAACAATACCTTATCTTCGAACACAGGATCAGACTGCTGTGTGCTCTTAGGGTCTATATAGTATTTACAGAAAGAAGCATGGTTCACATGGCCAGGTCTTTCATTACTTCCCAACTCTGGTGTCATCTAAAGATTGGGGGATGCTTCAAACTAATTAGTTCTTACGAAACGTCTATAGAGATGTGCACAACAACTCAGATGTAGAGAGGGGCATGACGTGATAATCGTTAAATATAGTGGCGATAATTTCCATGGTGTTGCACTTGGTTCTAAGTTTGAAGGTGATGGAAGAATGAAAAAAGTGAGCTTGACAGAGATGTTTCAAGTCAACCTAATTTCTCACCTCTACACACCTCGCCTATCACTGCATAAAGTGGGTGTGAATGTTGGATTGTCGGTTTCGACACGTTAAAGAAAAGGTGCTGTGGGAGACGGTTTTAAACACTGTTCAACGAGCACTACAGTTGAAACATACTGACCCGCTATAGTCAAATGTAGATTTAGGTTTGAACAGATGATGTTTTCTGGCAGTGTTAGTCAACAAATCCACCGATTGGACGAATAGTACAGATTTTTTGGGGGAGATTATTTCTGTGGCATTTTTACCTCATTAGATCAAAATGTGGGAGAGAAGAGTTAGAGAGAGGTAGGACAACCACATCACCATGATCATTTGGCTATCAGGACTAAAGCCTGTCCAGCTGTGATTAATCCTAGTGATGAATGTCTTCTGTGACAGACTCAAGGAAAGACATCAGTATACAGCATGACCACAATGTCCACAACGGGAACAACTTATATAAGAAATGATATATTCAGTATGTAATATGTGGGATGATACCAAGTAAGTTTATATAACAATTCTTGTTATATAGTGAAGTGGTTGAGTGATAACTGTCCTTATGCTTGCTTTACAGTTGCTCTTGGAGCCCATCAAAGATAAGCATAGAGGACAGAAGAAGGTGAGCTGGATTGAGATATATTAATGCACACAATAGTACACTCTGCAACCTGTCAGATCCCGCCTCTTGGACGACATGACACCTGCATTGTAACCCTTGACAAGAGCTCTAGTGGGCGCTCTCTTTTAATGGTGCACCACTCCACGTGGTGCGTGTTCACCACACTTTCCTCCTACCTTGGTGCTTCTGCTGCCCATTGTCCTCATTGTGAGAATGAGACACTAGCTTTCCTCCTGCTTTCTGTGTGTACGTCTCGCATGCCAAAGGCAAGGAGAGAAAAGTGGGTCACGGGCAGATGGACCATACAGTATAGTAAAAAAATATGCTGGCTAGGTTTTTTTTATTTTTTGCTGTGTGTTTTACTGAGTGCATTTACTGAGTAGAGTACTAGAGTCAGAAAGGAAAAGAAAAGAAAAGCAGAGAAGAAGAGATGCGAGTAGAGAGCAGGATGAGAGAAAATTATTGATTTTTGAAATCGAAGCTGTGAAGCGGAGAGAAGGTTTCGCTTTAGATCACATGGCTTGAAATGTGTCTGGCTTAAAATTATTTTCAGTGAGAGTATACATCGAACAATATTTATATCAATCAACGATACAATCACTACTTGTGACTGCTGCACACAGACAAAGACTGCTTTGTAAATTCACAGCTATGTATACAGTTGCTCACTCTTGAAATTAAACACTTTATATAAATCGTATGATGTACAATGAAAAAGCTGATTACTGTACAGACGTATAGGCTCGAACCTGCTTTAAGGCCTTATCCTGAATTATTTTCTCAAGGAAAACCGATGCAGTGCTGGACTCTGGTGGCCATTTCAAATTACTGAAACAGAGACCTCTATTTCTAAAATGTGTGCAACAAAACAGTTCTCAGAATGTTGCTCTTTTTTTTTTATGTTTCAGAAATATTTCAACATTGGCTGTTTTCTAGTTCTTAGAATGCATTTGCTTAAAATGTGTTTCAACATTCGTACTGTGGTTCCTTCTGGTTTTATCTTCCTCATTAAAATTATGAGAATCATGGAAATATACTTTGTAATACAGGGAATAGAATAAAGAAACATTTTACTTTATAAAAAGGACAAGGCTCTTTTTTTTTATCCTTTTCATTATAATACATTGGTGTTGCTAAGTGTTTCTCACTACAGTAAGTCAAAAAAAGTCCCAGCAACACAAAACGAAACTGATCGTCTTGTTTCTCAGAATCCAAAGAAGCTGTGACACCACATTTTGGTTCGACATGTTACATGTGGCGATCTGTTTTTGCCTTATTAGCAGCATAAAGAACACACCGATCTTTTGGATGTTGAAGTCACTTCGCTTGTATGTGCAGGGGAGGAGAACATGAGATATAATGCGATGTATAATGTATAAAAATGTGTTCTGCTTTTCTAGAACGTGTGAAAGAAGAAGTTGCTGACCATAATTCAGCTGTTTAATTTTAGAAATCTCATTTAACACCTAAAACCCAGTGTTCTGAAATGACCTGCCCATATACGTAGTTAACTACAAAGTGCTCTATAACTGTGTCATATTAAGCTTTTTGAGTGTTGATTCTTTGATGATATTTTAAACCTGAACTGGGCGCCTGCAGTACAGACAGGTTCACAACATCCTATCTCATCTGTGTGTCCACTAATAGTGACTGTCACATGTTGCCTGTATGATTATAATGTATTTTTATAAGCAAACATTTTGTTTTCCTCTTTTAGCCTCAGAGCCTCACTGTCAGTTAGTTTCACATGGTGATGTCAGCTACCACACCAACGAAAATCATCTGGTTTCTGCTTTCAATCCGTGTAGAAGGCTTAATCATTTAATCTGATAAACAGCTGTGGCAGTTTCGCCTTCATTTCTCAGAAGTCTTACTTAGAGACCAACTGAAAAGCAGAAGGTCAGTTTGGGTTACTTAAATTACTGCAATATAACTGACTTTAGCCATAATAACTACAAATCCTGCTGAATGTTGAGTCCCTGCACAACATAGAAGTGTATTATTTATTGTTTTCATTAACTTCACGGAGCCTTGCGATAATTCAACGCCAAAGTTGTTTTGGGTTCATTTACCGTCCAATCAAATATGACCATCAGGGCCTGTATGAAGACCTGCATCCTTGTTACTACACTGCATGCTTTCAGCAACTGAAACTCCTTCTTCGTGAAATAAATTACCACCAGAAAAGTTTTGTATTATTTTTCACAGGTTTCAGGCCCTAAATTGGGATGCAGCACGTAAATGCTTCTCTTGCTTCTGTCTTGTTCCGTCTTTGCCTTGTTGAACTATTGTTCCTTATACAAAAGCAGGCTTGCTTTTAGTTCATTTGAGTCTCTTGTTTGCCGTCTTAGTTTAACTGGGGTTCTCCAACTATAGCTGTTTGATTTAACCAATACCTATCTTTAGTGCCTAACATGTTTCTGTCATGTTAAGTAATCTTCTTTTTCCCTGTTTTTCTGTTAACCCTTGTAATATAGTTTGTCAGACCTCCTAATTTAGAGGAGCTGAGGCTGGCCAGGTAAAGCATTTGTACATTCATTCATTCATTCATTATCCAAACCGCTTATATCCTGTTCAGAGTCGCGGAGCGCTGGAGCCGATCCCAGCTGACATTGGGCGAAGGCAGGGTTCACCCTGGACAGGTCGCCAGTTCATCGCAGGCCATTTGTACATATTGCCATTAATTATTGTTTAAAGAAAATATTAACTGCCCTCTGAAGGTTCATAGGAGGCCGAAAGTCACTAATCTTGAAGCTTTCTCAAGCATCAACTTCCAGTTTTTCCTTATTCTTTCTTTGTATTCACTCTGTCTCCGTCTTTCTTAAAAATGAACTTTGGTTCCTTAATGTTGCATACAATATTTTCTAGGGTAACGTTTCCAAGTTGCTCTCTTGCTTCCTCTGTCACAATTTACTAGTTAAGTTCTATTAATATAAGGTTTGGTATGCTACTAGGGAAAATTATTGCGGAGAAATATGGTTGCAGAGGAGAAGTACGCTTAGATATTTACTTCTTCCTTTTGCAACTCTTGTGTGCTTTGGCTCAACCCTGACAGCAACTTCCTCAACATGACTCAAAACAGACACTTAAGTGGTCACTTTTTAACACCTCAGTCATTGTGTTGTTTCTCTTCACTGCGTTACTCTGGCAGTGCCATGAGGGGAATACAACATCTGCTGCTCCTGGCAGGTAAGAGGGATCCAGTGAAACATGAACTGAGATTGCTGGGTTTAAAAGTTTCAGTTTATTTATATGAAATATATTTCAGATTATTTGGTATTCGTTTTTGTGAGTATTATTACAGCTGAAATTTTGTGGGATTTGATATTGCTTTTAATACATAGAGTATGAAAATATAAAAACTACGGTTGAGGCCTTTTGATGTCCCTGCAGCTGGTGATCGAGGCAATTAATCAATTATACAAATTTCCAACATAGCTAAAATCATACTAAAATGTTTTCACATTTAGCTGAATTTTCTGTTACGAATTGCATTTAACATTTAACAAATAAGATAAAGTTTTGCCTCCATAAAAATCACAGAGCTGCCCTTTAGCAAGGAATTTAATTGGTAATCAAATCGAAACCTTCAAAAAGGTCAAAAGTAATATATTTGACTATGTCATGAAAAACAAAGAGGATTTTGCTAATCAACATTTTGACTCGGTGCCCTGCTCTAGATGGAAGAGACTAATGTTAACTGTGTATTATTACAGAAAGACTATATTAAAGAATAACATTTTTATATTTTGTTACAGAGTTCATGCTCCTGGCAAGATGTCAGCCACAAGGTAACCAGTGTTCACAGATGTGCAAAAGCTGTCAGCTCTCCATCTTCCCTGTATTACCTCTCAGGGGTGTAAAATCTTAATAGGTGGCAGCAATGACCATGTACAGCAGCCCTTTGTGGTTTACTGTAATGACAAACTATGCCTCCACAATCTATATGTCTTCTTTTCTTTGTCTCCTGCCTCCTTAGTTTCTATCTTACCCAAACTCAAGCAGATCTTCTCAGGGGACTTGCTTTTTCTGAGATGTGACAACAGCTTAAGTGGGAGCACAGTGAGATGGTACTTCAACGACATGGAACAACCGCTGACAAACGAAACCTGGAAGATAGGAGTTGCTACACCCAAGCACTCGGGCTCTTATCAATGCAAGCGCAACGGGGCAAAGAGTGCCGGTTTTCCCATCGACGTCCTGGGTAAATGTACCAAATGAACATAAGTATTACATCTCAAACTGCCAAAGATGTAAAGGGAGGTACACAAATAATTGTATAATTTATCCATTTACCATTCAGATTACACTCCCAGTGCCTCCCTCACCATCAAGACAGGCCAGCCAGTGATGCAGAAAGGAGGTTCTGTTCTCTTGCAGCTTGACAATGATGATGGTCTGCACGGATGGAAGTGCTGGGTGTATAGAGGAGGGCTGACAAAGAAGATTGCGTTGAGGTTGAGGAATGACAATGCGAGAGTGATCTTTCAGCCCTCTAGACTGAATGACCAAGAGACCGTTTTCTGGTGTACCGATACTAAGCAACTCAGAAGTAATCAAATCACGATCAGGACCTCAGGTAGGCCTACTGTTATTTTAATGCTCTGTCATACTAAGCCAAGGGGACTTTCTGTAGGTTCTTCACTACGAGCAACCCCTTTCACAATGTAACATTAACAGCATTATCAACATAGTACTGGTCATTTAAATGATGGGGGTAAACTCTAATACAATCATCTCCTTTCAGAGAAGGCCACATCGTTGGAAATGTATCCTCTGCCTGCTGTGGTTGGGGAGAGTCTGACTCTGAAGTGCCAGGTCTGGGGCACCAATGAAATTAGCCGCACTATTTTCTACAAAGACAACACAGTCATTCGGAATGGTTCGAGTTCTATCTACGAAATCCCTAACGTGACAGAATCTGCAAAGGGAAGTTACAAGTGTGATGCCACATTCACATACATGAAGCGCACTGCCGGGCCCCCATACCAAGTGGTCTCTGATAACCAAGATGTGTTTGTCCAAGGTACACATAATCAACCAACACCCTTTGACTGCTGGTGTACTGAATGAAGTTTCCCCCTTTTGTGTAATACTGTATGCTTTACACGTGCATCTTTTTCTCCTCATTTGTTCTTTTTCAGCACCTACCGTGAAGGCAGTTCTCTCTGCAAACGTTGGCATGTCGTGTTCTTGTACACCTTGTCCCAGGAATAGCACCTATCATTGGTACTACAAAAATAATGGTCAGCCATGGGCCCTTATGGATTCCAGACACGAATTCATGATGCCAAAAGCGAGTGGTACCTATGCATGTAGAGCCGTGTGGGCCATCGGGAGGTCTATTCTCAGCAATGCCCACTTTTGTGAGTTCCTGCTTTTGTTCCTGCTAATGGAATTTGACACCGTTTCCCTTGACATATTAATACAAATTAAGAGCGCTTAACTCGTCATGGGCACTGTCCAGCCTGTGAGAACAGTTGTGTAATGTACTTTGTGACCATGGAGGGAGCTTACAAAGTCAAAAAAAAGAAAACCTGATTGTGTCATCAGAGTTATCCCACCTTCGGCTCAGAGACTTTAAAATCTTAACAGAAAACTGGACGCGCAGTCACAATTTCTTACAAAAAGGGGGATGTGGAGTTTGAAAGATGAAGATATTTACCAAGCAGGGAGGTTCTAGCAAATTATGCTATAGAGTTGCATTATGGGAATTGCAGGACAAACTGTTTTTGGATCTTAACCCGTGCAAGGGAGTAAAAGTCATGGAATCTCCGCATCTCTGTGGCATCAATTTTAACCATTTTCATAGTCAGTCTTGTGA